GTCCTCAGCTTCTATCATGCATTGAAAACAGAGCAAACTCCCAGTATTCCTTGCAGTGGGTATGTGCCGGCTGCACATAGGACGCTGTTTCTGGGACCTCAGACTCCAGGTCCCTTTGGCCGAGTACCTTCCTTAGGCCCGACACCTGACAGATTCAAAGCCAAGCTGACACCAACACGGAAAGCATAACTTTGAGACTTAACACTGGTGAACTGAACCTGTTTTCATCATGTTTGTATTTACTGTTAGAATACTTGAGAATCCCAATAGAAGTCCCAATTTATCAGACTTGCAAAATTTTTAAATCATTGGGAAGTGTTGCTTATTTGGAACGTCTTCCCCTTCCTCTCCCTCTAGCCCTGGGCAACCCCACTCCATTCTCTCTATGAATTCATCCACTCTAGACTTTGTCTACTTTTGTCCTAAGAGGAAAACCATATAGTGTTTATGTAACTGGCTCATTTTCCTAGCTTAGTGTCTCCAAACTTCACTCACATGTTAGCATCTCTCAGAACTTCCTGCCTTTTGAAGGTAAAATACTATTCCCTGGCAGGTATATATCATATATTTGTGTATCCGATGGCATATCGCTGGATGTTTACATTATTTCTAACTTTTGACTATTACGATTACTGCTGCTGTAAATGTCAAGGTGCAGATATCTGTTGGAGAACTGCTTTCAGTTCTTTTTTGGGTATTTACCCAGAAGTAGAGCTGCTGGCTCATGCAGTAATTTTGCTTTTGATATTTTGAAAATTGGTGACATTGTTTCCTCCCGTGCCTGCACCGGTCTACATTTCCACCAATGATGTGCTAGAGCTCTGATTCACCACATCCTCACTAATATTTGTTATTATTATTATTATTATTACCAAGCAGCCCGCCTACAGAATGTGAGCAACCCTTGGTGTTTGTCTCTAAGAAAAAAAAAAAAAAAAGAAAATGAAACATCAGTTTTTTATTTTAGTTTAAACTCACTGTTTTAAACTTTTGGAATCCAAAGAGATTCTCTTGTGAAAACACTTATTTTTTTAAACTATAGTAATCAACACTAACATTAATTATTAATTATTATTAATGATGATGACTAATGTGTAACAAGCACCCTGGAGTCAGGTGTACTGAGTGTTGTAGAATTATTCTCTCAGTCCTCACAACAACCCTACAAACTGGGGACTCACCATGACAAGGGGATCTCAAAAGTTCAATGAAAAAATAAAATCAAAAGGTAAGTTTATTTTGATATCAAAAACTCTGAAACCCATGCAACAGGGCAACCATTATGGCACAGTAGATTTAGTCATCAGTTAGCACCCTGGTATCCCATACTGAAGCACAGTTCAAGGCCTGGCTCCTCTGTTTCTCTTTAAAATTTATTTTAAAGATCTATTTATTTTTATTGAAAAGAAGATTTACAGAGACAGAAAGGTCTTCCATCTGTTGGTTCACTCCCCACATGGTTGCAACGGCCATAGCAAAGCCAATCCAAAGCCAGGAGCCAGAAGCCTCCCACATGGGTGCAGGGTCTCATCCTGGGACTCTAGGCTTTGGGCCATCCTGTATTGACTTTCCCAGGCCACAACAGGGAGCTGGATGGGAAATAGAGCAGCCAGGACGTGAACCAGTGCCATTGTGGGATGCCAGTGCTTAGAAGTAGAAGATTAACCAGTTGAGCCAACATGCCAGCCCTGCTACTCTGCTTCTAAACTAGTTCCATGCTAATGTACCTGGGACAGCAGTGGAAGATGGCCCGGTAAGTTGAGCCCCAGCCAGTCATGTAGGAGTCAGGATGGAGTTCCAGGCTTCTGGTTTCAGCTGATTCCACCTTAGCTGTTAGCAGCCATTTGCAGAATGAATCAGTGGATGGGAGATCTCTGCATCTCTGTCTTTCCCTTTCTCTGTCATTCTGCCATTCAAACAAGTAAATAATTACAGCATCTTGTAGTGCTGTAATATATTTCTGTAAAATGTCGCAGCCTCTCTTCATCTCTCGTAGTGAATAAGAGCTGGACTGAGGCCAGTGCTCACTGCCTGTCTGCACTTGAGAGAATAACCTTGGGAAAGTTTCTTAATGTTTTTGTGTGGAAGCTTTCTCTCCTGCAACATGAGAAAATACAAGCACTTAGACATGCATCTAGCAAATAGTAAGCATTCAGTAGACATTAGCTCTTATTGCAAGAGAGTGAAATCCTATCTTAGGTGACAGTGGTTTGGGTTTAAAACCTTTCAAATAGCTTCTTATTGCCTCAAGAATAAAACCCAGTAAAAACTGGAGCTTGTATTTGGTGCAGCAGTTGGGTTGCTGCTTGGATGTCTGCATCCCTTATTGCAATGTCTGTGATGGAATCCCTGCTCTGCTCTTAGTGCAGCTTCCTGCTAATGTGTATCCTATGAGGTGGTGACTGCTCAAGCAGTCAGGTCCCTACCCCAGTTGGGGAGACCCGGGTTGGACTGTGAGCTCCTAGCTTTGCCTTGGCCCCATCCTGGCTGCTATGGGCATTTGGGGGCATGAACCAGCAGAAAGGGAGATAGCTCTCTCTCTCTCTCTTTGTCTCTATTTTTTGCCTTTCAAATAAATTGAGAATCAGTAAATGTTTTAAAGAAAGAAAGAAACCAAAGTTCTCAATATGGCCCATTGGGCCCAAGTCTGATTTTTATCAATTGCTCAGATTCTTCCAGCAACCCTGCCTCAGCTCTCAGCTTTATTAGCGTTGTGTTGCTTGCACTTTCTCAGGACTTGCCATGTCTCCAGGACTTTGCTTATGCCAGTCCCTCTGCCTGGAAGCCTTCTCAAGTTTTCTTGATCCAGTTCCTGCCCTCTAAGCTTTCGGGATTCAAACACCTTGGGTTTCGGGCCATTCTCACAAACTTCCATTGCTTCCTCACCTACTACTTTAAAATAGAAAATATCGCTGAAGCTTCTGTCCCTTTCAATAAGCAAAAAAAATACCTACTTTGTACCAGACACAATGCCATGCTTTGTGGGTATAGGAAGGTTCCTGTCCCTACTAAGAATTTAAAGGTAGTGAAGGACCATGTGCCTTGAGCCTCCAAATACCCTTAAAACACAGTGCATCTGGGATTTAAAATTTTGTCAACCCAATCAGAATCCATCAGGAGGAAAAGAAATCCTAACCTGGTACTAAATTTCTTGCTAACACATATGTTGTTACAAAGACAGAGCAAGAGACATTGGAAACACAGATTTACAGAAAGAGACAGAGAGAAGACTGTTCTATCCACTGTTCACTCCCCAAATGACCACAATGACTGGAGCTGAACAAATCTGGAGCCAGGAGCTTCTTCTTCTTTTGGGCCATCCTCCTCTCCTTTCCCAAGCCACAAGCAGGGAGTTGGAAAGTGGAGCAGCTGAGACATGAACCAGCACCCACTTGGGATGCTGGCACTTGCCTGGGGAAGAGTAGTGAATTGAGCCCATCTCGCCAGCCCCTTCTTAACTTTTCATAGCCTTGAGTTGAGCCATTCTCCTTTGTTAACCGCAACAGCCTTTCTGACACGGATGTCTAGAGAAGACAATCTCCTCTCACACACAGGACAGAGTTCTAGCTGTCTGGATGTTGCTATCACCAAGTACAGTTAGCCATTTGGCCAGTGTAGAAGTAAACTGGACAATTTTTCGGAAGTAGTTGGGAATCTTGATGGTTTAAGGTTAAGGCAGATAACACAATGATAAACTGGTTAAATGGTTAAGCTTCCAAACTAAGATTCATTTAAATGGGAATTTTAATGCTGGCTGTGTCTCTTTTTTTCCTTAAAGATTTATTTATGAGACCAGCATTGTGACATAGCCAATAAAGTTGCCACCTGCAACATCGACTCCTCATATGGGCTCCATGAGTCCCAGTTGCTCCACTTCCAAAGCAGTTCCCTGCCAATAGCCTGGGAAAGCAGCAGAAAATGGCCCAAGTGTTTGGGGCCCCTGAACCCACCGGGAAGACCAGTCAAGGCTCCTGGCTCCTGGCTTCAGCCTGGCTCCACCCTGGCCATTGTGGATATTTAGGGAGTAAACCAGCAGCTGAAAGATCTCTCTGACTCTTCCTCTCTAACTGACTTTCAAAATAAACAGATCTTAAAACAAACAAACAAACAAAAAACGAAAGGTTATTCAGTTATTTCGAAAGCCAGAGTTACATAGAGAGACAGAGACAGAGATCACAGAGGAATGAGAAGCTTTTCAGCATTCTGAATTTCAGCCCATTTGCGTTTTTCTCATGTTAGTGTGTCAGCTTTAATATGTAACACTAAATCAAATATGCAATAATATGTAACATTTACATTAGATGACATCTTTTAACTTAAAAATTTAGAGTTTGGGCAAAAAAAACAAACAAACCAAAATCCAGATATGGTTACCTCTAAGGACTACAGCTACGTGATCCCTAACCTCTGAATTGCTGCTAAAAGCTTCCCAGGAAGTAGCCCAGAGAATGCTTACATGCCTGGTTAGATAAGGGTGCATGTCTAGTCTCCGCTAGAGGGTAAATTCCACAGAGCCAGAGCCCAGAGAAAGAACTCAGGAAACCTAATCAGATGGAAAAGAAAGAGGGTCAGGAAGGAGATAGACAAAATGAAACCAAGAGTGATCTTGAGCCCCATAGGACCTTGGATGGCGAACCTTCCAGGGACATGGAGAGGAAAGGAAAGGAAGTGGTACCATCTGTGACAACAAACTTCAAACTTTGACCAAGAGGTGCAACAGGTGAATGGTGTACTTTACCAGGAACTCTGCCATTTCATTTAATCTTCTTTTCAGAAGTTGCACAGACTTTTTCATCAGCTACTAGAGCAACTGATGTTTTTAGAATTGAAAAAATTGTCATGCTAATTCACTGTTCAGTTGTTTATAACATTCCACTATTCTGGATAGAGTTTTCTACATTTGTTCTCAATCCAAAGGCAACTTTTGGATATTTGAGAAATAATTCTTGTATCATTTTAATTTGGTAAAAGTTAAACCATTGTTGTTTCCCCTTTACAAGAAAACGTGAAAGAGAAATGAAGTATAGAACCAAATAGAACAAGATTATGGCATGTAAGTTAGGAAATAATATTTGCTCTTTTTTAAAAAAAGTGAATCTTCAAAAATAACATTTTTGTCATAAATACCACTTTTTCTTTTCACATAGGCATAACACCTTTTACCTTTATAAAACCCAAACCTTCAGAACCAAATTATGTTTTCCTTGAAGAGGGGATGACTTTGTATTCCAGCAGTACAATCTTTTGAAGGTAAGCACCCAAATTTGTAGAAGGAATTATTATTACCCTTCAAGTTACAATCTCTTACCTAGCAGAAAACAGAATGAAATGGAAAGGTCCTCATCAGGGCAGGAAAAATAAGACAACGAATTGACTGAGTGTGGATGCTGAACCTTGAAAGCAGGAACAGCACTTACTGCACTTTGCATTAATGGTGGGCGTCACTGCACAGAGCCGAGGTATCTCCAAACTCAAACTTTCACATTGCTAACATTTGGAGTTCCATTTGGCCACTTAATCTTTGGTGGCTCTGGCTCCATCAAACAACAAAAGCAACCGTTCAGAAAGTCAAACAACAGGGGCGGATTGTAGAAACCCAGCAGCTAAATAGATTCACCGTGCTGGCCCCTTGCCCAGGGATGGAGAGAATGCGGGTTAGCTGTCGCTGCAGTTCTCCTGGGCGAGATGGTTATGCGCAGGATTCCCAGAGGCATGGCTGGCCAGACGTGTTCAAGAATGTCTAGGACGACAGCAATAATGGAGGTGACTGTGGGCTGGAGCAAGCCCTGAATTAAGTTGGTAATTCAAAGTTGCCATAGAAACCCTGCCTGAATGTCCCCTCTTCTGCCGAGTTGATTTTATGTTTAAATGTCAATATGCCTTCTTCGAGTTAATGATATATGAAATGGAAGAAGATGAATATGGAAGAAGGAAAACACACTCGAATGTCGACAATACTCAAGACACTGAATAATTTGCCAACTCTAAGTCGCCCTTTTAAACCAATGGCCCAGAGAGAGGTGGCGTGGGCTGCCGCCGCTGGGAGCTATTGAGCAAGTCTTTATGCCTTTACGTCCAGCACTGCACTCTGAAAGGCACTGCTGTAATTCAGCGAACTTGGCTTGTACTTGAAGCCAAATGAAATGCAAAGTTGCTTTTCAATAGCCAACCTCACTGAAAAAATGCCAGTTTGCAGTTGTGGGAAGTTTCAGCCACCGTATTTTCACAGATTGCATTTCACCGTGAAGTGTCCGTGAGAAAAACATTGGGAGGTTCTTGAACAGTGGCTCTAGGATCAATTAATCCATAGTATGTTTTAAATAAATATTTCTAGTAAATGTACAAAAACTTGCATTTGTACAGCTTGCACCTAAATTATCATCATCATTGCAAAGCAGATGCGGAATGCAAGAGGAGACGAACAATCGGCACTGTAATTTGCCCAGTAACATTGTTTTAGATCTAATTAGTGCTTATGCAGATCCTTTACAAAAATGTGAAAACTGCACCGGGATGTAATTGTTTAATGAATTTAGTGCAAAGCACATCTGCATAAATTCCATTTCAGCTGAAAAAAACAAGTTCAACCGCTATTTGCTCCAGAGCCAAAACATTGTGAATTGTGCCCACTGCGCTTTACCCTTGCTCTGCTGGCTGGGAGATTTCAAATAAATACTACGAAGTTAAAGCCTCCAGCTGCAGAGCAACCCATCTGTAGATGTTTGTTATATTTGGCAGTATTGTAGAGTGATTGTGCCTTCCTGCTGGAAGAAGAGGGGGTGAGGGATAAGGTTTTGTTAGAAAAAAAAAAAAAAAGTAAAAGTTTCGAATATTCATCACCTGCCAGAAAAAGTAAAGCTTTGAATCTGCATCTAGTTTTACTAGCCATGAATTTCAAACACCTGTTTACACTGACCCAACCACATACATAGGGAGAAATGTCCTTTCCCCTCTTCTTTCTTGCATTCAATATCTGTTAAATCCAAGACAACTGGATTATACCCAAGTGGATTGAGACCAAAATTTGAGCCATTCCTTGAACTTTCTCCAGTTTGCTCTGCTTGCCTTGCTACTTCTTCTGCTCAGTGTTTAAGGTCAGAAATCTGGAGTTTTACAAAAAGAGATGAGTTAGTGACAGATGGTTACATGATTGGTTGGGAAGGTACCATTTTTCAGTGTTTGATTTTTTTCTCTCAGCTTTGGCAGCTGCCTTTTCAAGGGCGGGACATATGAACCGCAGAGCCAACCATGTTTGTCGTGTTCTTGAGTTCCAGCATTGGGCAGAGTTGGGTGGGTGGCAGGGGCGTGGAGATATTCAGGCTGGAGTTGGAAGATGTCTATAAAAGCTGCAACAGAGGAGTATAATACTGAATCATTCGTTCTAACATTCTAATTCAGGCTGAAACCATCCAGGAGAGTATACTGTGGCTGTCCGATTAAACAAAGATTGTTGGCCTATTCCATGGGTCATCCAGCCTTGGGATGTCCTAAGCTAAGCTTCCCTGATTAAGGAGCCTCATGAAGAGGGGCAGAGATGCGGCTGCAGCATGAGGATGGGGAAGAGCTAGGCCATGTCTGCCTGGAAGGAAGAGAAAGAGTGGCCCTGGGCAAATTCTAGGTGCAGCTGCTGCCTGTGAGAGCCTCAGCCAGCCACGGGGAGTGCCCTTTGGTTGAGTGTCCCTTCAGAGTTGGGCTGAATGGAGGCAGGGGCTAGGAGCTGCCTGTGGGGATGAACCTAGGTTTGGGTTGGTATACATCTCTTTAGCATCCATTGGAGATCTGGATCCTGAGCAGGGCCTGGGCAGTGAACCACCATGCCCACTCTAGTCCTGTCCTGACCTTTCAGGTCCACAGATTTTATATTTGCACCCCATCTGGAAGCCATACTTTCAAACCCCTTTTCCTGGAGAAACTACAAGAGAAAAGTTTGTGGGATGCACTACACCCCATGCCTATGGCTTTAGTTGTTCTTTGAACTATAGAACCACTGCTTATCCTCACCTCCACTCATTCTGCATTTCCCTTGCATTTGGGTATCACCTCTGCTGACACAGACCTGGGGAGTAAATCTGGACCTCATCTCTTAGCCCCTGGTCCTCCTGTACTTCCTAGATAGTGCAGGCTGAACCTGCCTGCTTGCTGTCAAAATATTCCAAGGCAGCATCAACAGACAGCAACATATATCACCTAGTGGCAGGTATGTTGTCTCCCGCCTTATTATAATAACAGTAGGTCTGCTTCCTCCTGCCAATGAAAATCAGTAATTCCTACTAGCTCCTTGTCTCACCTGATAGTCTCTGAGCATAAGGACTCTGGAAGAATTAGCAGTAACTGGCATTTCTTCCTCTAACCCTACAGAATCCTGAGTAGAAGGGATAGCAGAACCAAAGTCTCCAAGATATTGAACAGGACTATGTTTCCTTATACTCACTGGTTCCAAGATCCGTGCACTTTTCCTTATTGGGGATACAGAGCACTTCATGATATTGAGTTAGAGTCCTTCAGGATTGTGTCCCATACTTTGCAGAATATCACCTCTAAGATGGTGCTGAAACTTCTTTGCAGGCCTGCAACATTGAGATAGAATAATAGTTCATGGTCAAATGTATTTTTTGCAATATCTCCTTGTTATAGAGTGGATTTTTGGGGCCAGTGCAAAACTAGATGGACTTCCATATCCATGGAACACTTTGGACTTTCGGAGAGCAGCTTAGGACCCATGGGAAAGCTGAGCCCATACCCAGCTTAAGTATAATTTTAATCCAGACAAATCACTTATTCTGGGATGGGAAGGATGCGGTGAATCAACATCCCAATAAGTAGCTGCTTGGTCCCTTTCTGAGACCACTGGGGTTCCGCACTTGTCTGAATAGCTTGCAGGTTAGGCATCCTGCAGAGACAATGGCTGAAACATTGATGAGTGGGAGCTTCTGCCACTAAAGCTTCGTTCCTGAGCTGGTAGCTGCCATGCTTAGGGACCAGTGGTAGCAGAACTTAGGTAACCAATGACAGAAGTTAGCAGACATTAAATACTGCATCATTTTGTCTTTTGTTGCTTAGTGCCTCCTTTGTAGTATAAGCTCTCTGGAGGGTATGAAAAGGTGGCACAAAGATCATGACTGCTGTGGCAACTACCACAACTCCATCCATAGAGTGTTTGCCCTGATATTTCCAGTCTTGCTCCTTCCAGGTCCTTGACCTAGGCTTTTCCTATTGTCCATGGATCTTTATATGGGACACTTCTGTCACCCCAAAATTGGAAAATCAAGCTTGTGACCCAAAACTACTCCTACCAGAGAAGGATTTTCTTTCACACCTGTTTTATAGTGTAACACAGCTCCCACAAGTGAAGCTAACTCTTCCATGATCTAAACCTGTCCTTTTCCTTCCTCCATCAGTTACCAGTTAGAGACCATGCAGTCCTCATGAATAAACAGGTGAACATCATAGATGTGAGTTGAGGAAGAGAAATTGTTACAACAGGGGTGAGTGACATGAGGGCCTAGACCACCTGCTCATGTTGTATCATTGTACCCAGTTGCCCTGCTCCTGCCTGATCCTGGCATCCTCTTCTGTCTTATGATGGATCGCTCCTAGGCACACCTGATTCTATGGCTTGAGTTGAACAGAATTCAGATTATCATGGGTAATTTCTGGCCACATGGTCACTTGAAGTCTCACGGTCATGTATTTTATCTCAACTAGGGTTCATTGGCATGTCAGGAGCTATTCTTTCAAATGGTATATAATTCTCTGCTGCAGATGGTATGGCCTTGTTCCAGAACCCCAGGGGTCTACATTGTGAGTCTCCTATTGGGCTTGCCATAAACACTATATGACATCTTTTCCTATCACAGATACCTTTAATAGCAGAGGGTCTGCAGTGCTCTTTCCTGCCCTGGGCCCCAGTCAAAGCTGACAGTCTTCCATATCGCTTGATAAATGTAGCAGTGCAGTATTTCCAAGGAGAGAAATACAGCTTCTTCCAGGTCTCACAAGTGCATGCAGGGTCTCAAGGCTTTGGGCCATCCTCTACTGCTTTCCTAGGACACAAACAGGGAGCTGGATGGGAAGTGGAGCAGACAGGACACAAACCAATGCCCATATGGGATTTCAGCATGTATAAGACAAGGATTTTGCCACTAGGCTATCAATAGTTAGTGCTTCTGATGGAAGACAGGCTGGTGGGTGCACATGTCTTT